AAAAAAAAAAAAAAAAAAAAAAAAAAGGCTGGGCTTGATGGCTCACACCTGTAATCCTAGCACTTTGGGAGCTTGAGGCAGGTGGTCACTTGAGGTCAGGAGTTCGAGACCAACCTAACCAACATGGTGAAACCCCATCTCTACTAAATACAAAAAAAATTAGCTAGGCATGGTGATGCATGCCTGTAATCTCAGCTACTCAGGAGGCTGAGGCAGAAGAATCCCTTGAACCTGGGAGGCAGAGGTTGCAGTGAGCTGAGATCGTGCCATTGTACTCCAGCACAGGCGACAGTGAGAAACTCCATCTCAAAAAATAATAATAATAAAATAAGGGAGATTTTATTTTTTTTTCCAATGCTGATATTGTTTACTTCTTCTTGTGTTATCGCCCCAAGTTAAACTCTCTAGTATGATGTTGATAATATCTGGCTTTCTCCCTAATCCCAGAGGAAGAACATTCAGCATTTCACTTTTTTAGGATTCATTTTTGCTGAAGGTTTTTTGCAGTGGGGAGGTGAAGGGAGGTTAAGGAAGTTTCTTTCTATTCCTGTTTTTTTTTTTTTTTTTTAACCTTTATTTTAATCCTTCTACATTTATCAATGCCTGTATGTGCTTCAGGATGCCAGTCTTCAGACATCCTTCAGATTCTGTGCTTCACTGTGTGTTTTTCTTATCAGTAGTCCTACTCTTGGAAAATGTTGCATACCTGTTTATTTTGAAAATTGCTCTGTTTTCCAAATACTTTCTCTCATACCTACACACATTTCCTGCTATTTCTTTTGGAGATTTCCATATATATTTCTCTCTCCTCTTGGCATTATTATTATTATTATTTTTTAGAGAGAAAGAAAGAAAAAGAATTTAAAAAAAAGAAAAAGAAAAAAAAAGAATAAAGGAAAGGAAGAAAGAGGAAGAGGAAGAGGGAGAGAGAACAGGGGTGTTGCTTTATTGCCCGGGCTAAAATGCAGTCTAAAAATGGATATGCCTGTAATTATGTTTAATAATAGAGACAGGAAGAAAATAATTAACAAGCAGCCAACCAATATTTCATTTAAACCTGAAAATACGTGTGATGTAGTACTGATAAGAGTGTATGTTTTGTGTATTTAAAGTGGAGAGTTCTATGAATGTTAATTAAGTCTACTTGTTCCGGATCTGAGTTCAAGTCCTGAATATTGATGTTAACTCTATTCCTGTTTTAATACAGATTTTTATTTTTAAAATCACAATTCTTTCAGTGTTTGTTTCATATATTTTGTATCTTTGTTGTTAGATGTGTATACATTTAGGGTGTTTTTTGTTTTTTGTTTGTTTTTTGAGACAGAGTCTCGCTCTGTCACCGAGGCTGGAGTGCAATAGCGTAATCTCAGCTCACTGCAACCTCCACTTCCCAGGCTCAGGCAATTCTGCCTCAATTTCCCAAGTAGCTGGGATTACAGGCGCTTGCCACCATGCCCAGCTAATTTTTGTATTTTTAGTAGAGACGGGGTTTGACCATGTTGGCAAGGCTGGTCTTGAACTCCTGACCTCAGGTGATCCGCCTGCCTCAGCCTCCCAAAGTGCTGGGATTACAGGCATAGGCACTGTGCCCTGCCAGGTCTTTTTTTTTTTTTTTTAGGATAATTGACCCTTATATTGTTATGTAATCTTCCTCTTTGTTCTAGGGTCGTACTTTGTTCTGTGGTCTACCTTGTCTGATATTAATTAATCCAGTGGATCTTTCTTTTGATTAGCATTTGTGTGGTATAACTTTTTCATCACTTTTTCTTTTTACCTACCTCTCTCTTTATATTTGAAATGAATTTCTTTTTTTTTTTTTTTGAGACAGAATCTCACTCTGTCGCCCAAGCTGGAGTGCAGTGGTGCAGTCTCAGCTCACTACAACCTGCCTCCCGGGTTCAAGCAATTCTCATGCCTCAGCCTCCAAAGTGGCTGGGATTACAGGCATGTGCCACCATGTCCAGCTGGTGGCATTTGTATTTTTAGTAAAGACGGGGTTTCACCATGTTGGCCAGGCTGATCCAACTCCCGGCCTCAAGTGATCACTTGCCTCAGCTTCCCAAAGTGCTGGGATTACAGGTGTGCGCCACCACACCTGGCCTAAAGACAAAAGCTCTTGAAAGCACTCAGAGAGAGCGGTGCGCAGCCTGCAGGGGCATGACTTGAGCAGTGGTGGGCGCTCAGCAGCAACTAGCATCAAATTTTTCATCACAAGGAAGTGGCATAATCTTTTTCAAGTACTGAAAGCAAAAAACTGTCAAACCATCATTGTACATTCAGTAAAAACATTCTTCAGGAATGAGAATGAATAAAGACATTCTCAGATAAAGAAAATGTTTCCGACCAACAGACTGGATATAAAAGAAGTGATAAAAGAGGTACCATTTTTTTTTTTTTTTTTTTTTGAGGAGGAGTTTTGTTCTTGTTGCCCAGGCTGGAGTGCAATGGCACAATCTCGGCTCATCGCAACCTCCATCGCCCAGGTTCAAGCATTTATCCTGCCTCAGCCTCCTGTATAGCTGGGATTACAGATAAGCACCACCACACCCGGCTAATTTTTTTTTTTTGTATTTTTAGTAGAGACAGGGTTTCTCCATGTTAGTCAGGCTGGTCTTGCACTCCCAACCTCAGGTCATCTGCCTGCCTTGGCCTTCCAAAGTGCTGGAATTACAGGCGTGAGCCACCGTGCCCGGCCGATAAAGGAAGTACTTTAGACACAATAGAAGAAAGGAAACTAGAAACGTCAGGAGTGCAGGAAAATGGGAAGGGTGAATATGATGGACTACTCTTTCACGCTTGATTTTTAAAATTATGTTGACAGACCGGGCGCCATGGCTCACGCCTGTAATCCCAGCACTTTGGAAGACCAAGGCAGGTGGATCACCTGAGATCAGGAGTTTAAGACCAGCCTGGCCAACGTGGCGAAACCCTGTCTCTACTAAAAATACAAAAATTAGCAGGGCGTGGTGGCACATGCCGGTAATCTCAGCACTTTGGGAAGCTGAGGCAGGTGGATCACTTGAGGTCAGGAGTTCGAGACCAGCCTGGCCAACACGGTGAAAGCCCATCTCTACTAGAAATACAAAAATTAACCAGGCGTGGTGGTGCGCATCCCAGCTACTCGGGAGGCTGAGGCAGGAGAATTGCTTGAACCCAGGAGGCAGAGGTTGCAGTGAGCTGAGGTCATGCCACTGCACTCCAACCTGGGCAACAAGAGCAAAATTCCATCTCAAAAAAAAAACAGTCTTTGTCTTTAGTTTTTAGAAATTTCATTATGTTGTATCTGGGCATAGATTTCTTTGGTTTATCCTTCTCGACGTTAATCTGAGGCTTTATGTCTTTCACCAAATTTCAGAAATTTTCATCCATTATTCAACTATTTTTTTTTAGCTTCACACTCTTTCTTTCTGGGACTCTGAGGACACAAACGTTTGGTCTTTTGTTATTGTCTTGCTGGTCCCTGAGGCTGTGTTTTATTGTTTTATTTATTTATTTTTTTCAATTTGTTTTGGCTCTTGTTCAATTAGCTAATTTCTTTTCCTCTGTTCTTCAAGTTTATCGGTTCTTTCTATTGTCATTTCCATTTTGCTGTTGAGCCCATAAAGTGAGATTTTTGTTTCTGTTTCTAAAATTTCCATTTTCGTTTTCTTGTTGTTGTTGTTGTTGTTGTTGTTTTTGAGACAGGCCCTTGCTCCGTTGTGCAGGCTGGAGTACGGTGGTGTGGCCATAGCGCACTGCAGCCTTGACCCCTGGGCTCAAGGGATCCTCCCACCTTAGCTTGCCAAGTAGCTGGATCTCTAAACTACAGGTGTGCACCACCATGCCCAGCTAATTTCTTTTTATATTTGTAGAGATGAAATATCACTATGTTATCCAGGCTGGTCTTGAACTTCTGGCCTCAAGTGATCCTCCTGCCTCAGCCTCCCAAAATGTTGGGATTACAGGCATGCACCATCACACTGGCCTTAGTTTTCTTATATGTTACTTTACTGAAACTTTTATTTTGCCATATGATTTTAGAGTAGATTTAGAGTATGTCAAATTGCTTGCTAGAATTTTTTGTTTGTGTATTTGTTTGTTTTTTTAGAGACAGGGTCTTGTTCTGTCACCCAGGCTGTAGCACAGTGGCCTGATCATGGCTCATGGCAGCCTGGACCTCCTGGGCTCAAGTGATCCTCCTGAAGAGCTGGGAGTATAGGTACCATCCATACCTGGCTAATTTTTCTTATTTTTTTGTAGAGACGGGTTCTCACTATGTTACCCAGGCTGATCTTAAACTCTTGGCTTCAAGCAATCCTTCCACCTTCGCTGTCCCCAGTAACTTGCTGGAGTATTTTTATGATGGCTACTTTAAAATCTTCATCCCATAATTCCATTATCTGTGTTATCTTAGTGTTGTCTATTTTATTCACATTGAGATTTTTTTGGTCATCAGTATGATGAGTATATTTTTAAAAAAAATTTTTTTTTAATTAGAGATGGGCTGTCACTGTATTGCCAAGGCTATTCTCACACTCCTTGGCTCTAGCAATCCTCCTGCCTTGCCTCCCAAAGTGCTGGAATTACAGGCAGCCTCTAGTAATTTTTTAATGTATCATGAACATTTTGAGTGTCACATTATGAAATTCTGGTTCTTATTAAACCTATTTTAACTCTGTCTTTTATTTTATCAGGTAGTCAACCTTTCTGTGTTCACACTGTATCCTGGCCCACTCTGGTGGGCTGAGGTTTGAATGTCTGTTACTGTCCAGAGCCTTGATGATGCTATTTTGCTCTGCCCACACGTGAGTCACCAAGTGGCCAGTCAAATCCTGGGCAGTGTCCCTGCACTGGGCCCACTTGTCAGAGGTTTTGCTATGCTGGTTCTGTTGATTCTGGCTGTTTTTATACAGCAAGTCCCCGGGGCCTTCATGCGGGCCTCCTTCCTCCTGTGACACTCAGCACATGCTCTCCTGGAAGCCGTACTGGACTTGTCTACAGCAGGCTGTGGGGCCGTGGGCTGGCAGGAGGGCAGGTGTGGTCTCAAGGGCTCCACCTGCATGTCCCCCTCTTCCTGCCCCTTTGGTCCCAAGAGCAGCTTCTCTTAGGCTTTTTATTTTATTTTATTTTATTTTTTTTGGTCTGAGCTCTGGGTTGTGGCTGCCTAGCACCAGCTCAGCACGTGCAGGAAGGAGATGAAGGACTCCCTGCCAGCCACCCCTGGGATCCGAGGCCCCTAGACGCTCAGCCTTCTTTACTCACCATTCAGAATTTTCCCCTAGTGGGGCCTTTTGTGTTCTGGCTGGACCTTTAGCTGAAATGAGTGAGGGAAATGAGTGGACTGCGGGTTTCATTTTGTGAAACCAACCTTGCAGTTCCAGGGTGAATTTAACATGTTATGATAGATTCTTCTTTTTATATATTGACAGATTTTGTTTGCTGATATTTCTTTTGTTTTTTGTTAGAATACCTGAGACGTCGTCTCGCTCTTTGACCAGGATATTCTTGAACTCCTGAGCTCAAGCCATCTTCTTGCCTTGGTCTCCTGTGTAGCTGGGATTACATGTGTGGGCCACCATGCTCAGCTTGGTCTGCCAGTGTTTTATAGAGAATTATTTATGTTCGTGAACAAGACTGGCCAGTAATTTTCATTTCTCATAATGTTGATGTGAGGTTTTGGAATCAAAGTTACTCTGGCCTCATAAATATGTTGGAAAGCATTTTCTATTTTTCTGTTTTCTAAAAAAGTTTGTATCAGACTTACATTAATTTTCCTTAAATAATTGGTAGAATTCAACTTTGAAACCAGCTGGGCCTGGATCTTTTCTTGTGGGAAGGTTTAAAATTGTGAATTCAGTTTTTTTCATAGTTATAGAACATCCGGATTTTCTTTTTTGTACATTTTTGATGTTATGTTTTACTAAGAAATTGTCCATTTCATCTAAATTTTCAAACTTTTGACATAAAGTTGCTTATAATATCCTCCTATGAGTTTTTAAATGTCTGTGGGATCTAAAGTGATGATTCCTTTTTGCCATTCATTATATTGGTCATTTGCTTCTATTTTTTCCTTGCTTAATTTATTTTAGCCTTCTCAAAGAATCAACTGTTGGTTTTGTTGATTCTCTACAATACATTTATTTTCTGTTTCCTCAATATCTGATATGAACTTTATTCTTTCTTCCTCCTACTTTATTTGGCTTTTCTTTTTTGAAAGAGTCTGTTACCCAGTGTGGAGTGCAGTGGCGCCATCTCAGCTCACTGCAAGCTCTGCCTCCCGATTTCAAACGATTCTCGTGCCTCAGCCTCCCGAGTAGCTGGGACCACAGGTACACACCACCACGCCTGGCTGATTTGTGTATCTTTTTAGCAGAGACAGGGTTTAGCCATAATGGCAAGGTTGATCTTGAACTCCTGACCTCAGGCAATCTGCCCATCTCAGCCTCCCAAAGTGCTGAGATTACAAGCCTGAGCCACCATGCCCTCCCCTGTTTGGCTTTAATTTGGTCATTTGTTTTAAATTTTTCTGTGTGCGTGTGTGTGTGTGTGTGTGAGAAAGAGAGAGAGAAAGAGAGAGACAGAGTCTCACTCTGTCATCCAGGCTGGAGTGCAGTGGCGCGGTCATAGCTCACTGTAACCTTGAATTCCTGGGATCGAGGGATCCTCCTGCCTCAGCCTCCCAATGTGATGGGATTACAGGCATGGGCTACTGCACCTGGCCCTCTGATTTCTTGAGATGAATGTTTTGCTCATTGGTTTTCAGCCTTTCTTCTTTTCTGAAATATTTCTCTAAAGCTGTAATTATTCTCAGAAGGACAACTTTAGATGCATTCCTTAAGTTTGGAAAGTGCTATTGTTGTCATCCTTCCATTCAAAATAACTTTTGATGTCCATTGTGATTTTTTTCTTTGGCCCTGTGTTATTTGGCATCTTCTTTTTTGATTTCCAAACAAGTGGCTTTTTATTTGGACAGACTACAGCAATTGGTCTCTATCAGACACGACCTGGTAAAGTCAGACTTCTTCCTACAAGGATTCTTGCTTTCTTTACATAAGCATTATGCTTTCTGTACAGCATCTCTGATATTCATGTGGACCCAGGTCTGTTGACTCCAGTGAAGAACAGCTTCATGTTGGGCTCAGCCACTCGTACTGGGAAAGGAAGAGCTGATAGAGACGTGTGTCTCCCCAGAAAGGCCTTCCCTGGTTTTCAGATCTGAGCCTGACCAAAGTCACTCTTCTCTGCAGGAGTGTCTGTCCAGGCTGGTCAAGTGGACTCTGGACTGGCGCTCAGGAAGCTCGGGGACAGAGTGCAGCTCCTAAACCTGCTGGTGACACGACTCAGACAGAAGGTAAGGCACTCGAGTGTGTGGGGTCTCCCTCCTAGAGAGCTGCTGGTGGAGGCGGGCACGTGGGCTCTGAGCTGCTGCCTGGTGGGAGTCCACTGACGGGCACAGAGGTGCCTGTTTCCTTCTGAGGAAGGGGCTGTAGGGAGGTCCTAGGAACTGGTTCGTCTTAGGCGTGCTCATGGAGGGGAAACACGGTCCAGGCAGCGGAGGCAGTGCTGGTGGGCAGAAGGCATGGCCTGGCTATGCCTCAGGGCTGCCCGTTAGAGGGGCCCTGGTCAGCCAGGCATGTGTGCTTCGCGTCAGTGACAGCCGCACTGCATCTGAGGCGCTAGAGCCTCACAAGCGCTGTTCTTCTCAGCCTCCTGGGCCCTTGCCTTTCGGGGGTGGGGTCGTATGCCTGCTGGGACCAATATCTGGGTGCATCCAGCGGTGAGCCCACCCTGTTTCCCATGGGGCTGGGCTCATGATCCCGGTTTGATTGCTACAGATTCCTGACATCTATTTGGTTTTGACTCTTTAAAAGTTGTGGTAAAATGTATTAATGTATGACAGTTTCCCTTCTTGAAGTGTACCGTTGGGTGGCATTAAGTGTTTTCAAAACGTTGTCTACACATTGTATTACCAGAGCCTTTCTTTTTTTTTTTTTAAGACGGGGTTTCACCATGTTGGTCAGGCTGGTCTTGAACTCCCGACCTCAGGTGATCCGCCCACCTTGGCCTTCAAAGTGCTTGGATTACAGGCGTGAGCCACCACGCCCGGCCCTTACCAGCGCCTTTCTGCCCACCCCACATAGAAACCCTGTAGCATAACCACACAGTAGGATTGCCCCTTCCCTGCCTCCCAGCCTCTAAACATTCTATTACCAGAGCCTTTCTACCCACCCAAATAGAAACCCTGTACCATAACCACACAGCAGGATCACCCCTTCCCTGCTTCCCAGCCTCTAAACATTCTATTACCAGAGCCTTTCTACCCACCCAAATAGAAACCCTGTACCATAACCACACAGCAGGATCACCCCTTCCCTGCTTCCCAGCCTCTAGGAGCCACCATTCTTCTCTCATCCCAATACATTTGTCTACTGTAGGGACCTCGTAGTAACAAAATCTTACAACCGTTGTCCTTTGGAACTGGCTTCTTTGATTGAGTGGAACGTTTTCAGGGTGCAGGTGTGTCGGCTCTGTGCATGTCAGAACCTCCCTGCTCCACGGCTGACTGACACTCCTCTGTATGGCTGGGCCAAGTTTTGTTTCTCATTCATGACTGGTGGACACTTGAGTTGTTTCCATTATTTGGCTTATGCACAGTGCTGCTGTGAGCATTCCGTGCAAGTTCCTGTGGGGACTACGTGCTCAGTTCTCCTGGGGGTGCACCTAGGAGTGGAACCGCCCTGTCAGACAGTGACTGTGTTTAACCCTTTGAGGCAGCACTGCACTGTTTTCCCTGGCAGCCACACCATTTTGCCTTGTCACTAGCGCTGTGTGAGGGTTCCGGTTACCCATCCCCACCAACACCAGCTGTTTTCTGGCTGTGATGCTGGTCATCCTGGTGGGAGAAAAGTGGGACCTCTCTGTGGTTTTGATTTGCATTTTCCTGATGACTCATGATGTCAAGCATAATCTCACCTGCTTCTTCGTCAGTCATTTGTCTTCTTTGGAGAAACGTCCATTGGGATCCCTTGCCCAGTTATTTGTCTTTTTTTTTTTTTGATACGGAGTTTCACTCTTGTTGACCAAGCTGGAGTACAACAGTGCAATCTTGGCTTATCGCAACCTCCACCTCCCAGGTTCAAGTGGTTCTCCTGCCTCAGCCTCTGAAGTAGCTGGGACTACAGCCATGCGCCACCACACCTGGCTAATGTTTTTTTTTTTGTATTTTTAGTAGAGACAGGGTTTCTCCATGTTTGTCAGGCTGGTCTTGAACTCCCAACCTCAGGTGATCCGCCCACCTTGGCCTCCCAAAGTGCTGGGATTACAGCCTTGAGCCACCGGGCCTGGCAGGGTTATCTGTCTTTGTATTGTTGCGTTGCAAGAATTATTTTTATATTCCAGATGTAAGCCCATTGTCAGATACATGATTTGCTACATTTTACTCTCATTCTTTGACTTGTCTTTTCTCTCTCTCTCTCTCTCTCTCTCTCTCTTTTTTTTTGAGATAGAATCTCACTCTGTTGCCCAGGCTGGAGCACAGTGGTACAATTTCAGATCCCTCCAACCTCTGCCTCCTGTGTTCAAGCAATTCTCATGCCTCAGCCTCCTGAGTAGTTTGGATTACAGGTGCAAGCCACCACGCTTCGCTAATTTTTGTATTTTTAGTAGAGAAGGGGTTTCACCATGTTGGCCAAGCTGGTCTCAAACTCCTGACCTCGGGCGATTGTCCTGCCCCCACCTCCCAAAGTGCTGGGATTATAGGGGTGAGCCACTGCGCCTGGCCTGTCTTTTCACGTTCTTGATGGTGTCCTTTGAAGGTCACGAAATGTTTCCAGTTTTGATCCAGTCCAGTTGATTATGTCTCCTGTTGCTTGTGCTTCTGAATTGTGCTGTCCTTATCCTGTTGCCTTTGTTCCTTGTGAGGTGACATAGCGAGGGGTCCTTTGCAAGCCTCTTGCATCCATAAATATGTAAATCCCTTTCCCAGCAGCACTGCTTCTTCCCTGTGCAGAACATCTCTCTAGGAACAGAAAGCACTCCAGTCTTCCCGTCTGCTGAGGGAGTGAGCAGTGCTCCAGAAACTCGATGCCTTTTTTTTTTAATCTTCCTAACGTGTGACTGATTGATTGATTGAAAATGACAAATATAGGCCAAGCGCAGCAGCTCACACCTGTAATCCCAGCACTTTGGGAGGCCAAGGCAGACGGACCACTTGAGGTCAGGAGTTCAAGACCAACCTGACCAACATGGAGAAATCCCATCTCTACTAAAAATACAAAATTAGCTGGGCGTGGTGGTGCATGTTTGTAGTCCCAGCTACTCGGGAGGCTGAGGCAGGAGACTCGCTTGAATCACTGTGCAGGAGGTGGAGGCGGCAATGAGCTGAGACCGTGCCACTGCACTTCAACTCCAGCCTGGCAACAGCGAGACTCCGTCTCAAAACAAAGAAAGAAAGAAGATGACAACTGTAAGTTGTATATGTCCATGGCACATGATGTGACGTTTTGAAACACGCCCACACTGTGGAATGGCCAAATGAGGCTGATCGCTACGTGCATTTCTCCTCACGTCTGTCATTTTCCAGCGATGCCTGGCATCTCACCTTGACTGAAACGTGGCCTTGTTGTTGCAGTGCAGAGACACGTGGCCACTCTCCATTTCTGTCCGTGGGGCTGAAGCTCCACGTGCCTATGAGGGCCTCCAGATCTCTCATGCTTTGCAGCTGCTGATTCCCCATTTCCCCCACACAAATGCTACAGACAAGAAATAAACATTTAAATACAGCTTTCAGGCTGCTCACAGTGGCGCACACCTGTAATCGCAACACTTTGGGAGGCTGAAGCAGGAAGATCACTTGAGCCCAGGAGTTAGAGACTAGCCTGGGCAACATCGGGAGACCCTCTTTCTACAAAAAATAAATGAAGGCTGGGCACAGTGGCTCATGCCTGTAATCTCCTCACTGTGGGAAGGTGAGGTAGGAGGACTGAGCTGAGCAGTTTGAAACCAGCCTGGGCAACACAGCAAGACCCCATCTGTACTAAAAACCAAAATAGTTAGCCAAGCATGGTGGTGCATCTGTAGTCCCAGCTACTCGGGAGGCTAAGGATTACTTGAGCCCAGGTGGTCAAGGCTGCAGTGAGCCATGATCACACCACTGCACCCCCGCCTGGGCGACAGAGCAAGGCCCTGTCTCTAAAAAGAAAAATAGGCTGGATGCAGTAGTGCACACCTGTGATCCCAACACTGGGAGGCCAAAGCAGAAGGATCGCTTGAGCCCAGGAGTTTGAGACCAGCTTAGGCAACAAAGTAAGATGCTGTCTGAATAAAATAAGTAAATAGGGCCAGGCGTAGTGGCTCATGCCTGTAATCCAAGCACTTTGGAGGCCAAGGAGGGTGGATTAGCTGAAGTCGGGAGTTCAAGACCAGCCTGACCAACATGGTGAAACCCTGTCTTAAAAAACAATAGTAAATAAATAAAAATAAATACAAGATTTTAATTTTGCCTTGGTTAATCATAGATGATTTGATTATCTATGATAATAGATACATTCACCTTGAAATATTTTTGTTTGGTTGGGTTTTTACTTAGCAGTGTCTATAAATGAAATGATAACCTTTATTTGTGTGTAGGTGACAAATTCAAAAATAAAATATTCATAAGGAATTCACCGTAGGAGTCCCTGGAATAGGGAAAGTAATATTTTATGTTCCTGGGAATGAGGCAGGAAGGCTCTGGTACGGGGAGGCGTGCGTCTTTCTCACCTGCTCTGCTCTTCTTCCTTCTCGCCAGGACTGGCGCAGTCAGTGAAAGGCAGTGAGAGTCAGAGGCCAGCCCGGGGCCCCAGGGTGGGTCTCATGGCCAGCCTGCAGCCTCCCTCTCCCTGCCCCCATTCACCCAGCCTCTTGTCGGCCTCCACCTGCCCTCTGACCTCCTGGCCTGCCTCCCTCTGGCCTCCCCATCTCTGTCGCCTTGATTAGCAGAAGAGAACAATCTACACTTCCTGCTGGTTACTTGCAATTCTGGAGGCCTTTGTTTCTCCCTGGGAGGAGGGCTCAGGAAGGGGTTTTGAGGCGCCCCGCCTCTGTCCATGCATGGATCCTCCCCACCAGCCTGGGACTCCAGAGCAGGCAGGGCACAGGGGAGCCGCTGGGGCCAGCTGGGCACGGTGGGAGGAGCAGCAGCCTCGGTGTGGGGCGGAGGGCTGCGGGCATTTGTGTCCAGCTGGGTAGGAGGCCCTGACCCCTGACCCCTGACCCCGGCTCCGCTGTGCTTTGCTTGCACCTAAGTGCTTCCTGTTGGTTCCCGAGGACCTGCTGCAGCCCAGGCCATGGCCTCAGTCCTAACACTGCCTGTGAAATGGCTCCTAGGTGCTGCGGGGACCCCTAGAGCCGGCTGCTCTGCAGCTCGAGCTTCCCCGTGAGGTGGACCAGGTACACCTGGAGGTTTTGGAGCTGCGGAAGCAGGTGGCTGAGCTGGGGAAGCATCTCAGGATAGCCCACCACTGGGGAGCGGAGCCTTCAGGAAGGAAGCAGCCCACAGCCTTGGACGCCGTGGTCCTCGGGAGAGAGGTGGGTGCCCGCCAGCTCCTCCTGCCACCCGCCTCTCGGGGCTCCTGCTGCAGAGGCCATCCTTGCCTGTGCTCTGCCGGCAGTGCTGTCTGTGTGCCCTGGGAGCTTCGGTGGGACGAGGGCTGCAGCAAAGGCCGTGCCTGGAAGTGGGTCCTGCTCCACCCTTTCTCCCTCTTCCCCTACCTTCTTCCTCTGCCCACTTCCTCTTCTCCTGCTCCTTCACCTTGACACACTGTTGGTGGGGGCGGCCCATCCGAGTCCTCGCTCCAGCTAACAGCGTCTTGTGTTGGAAACTCACACGTTGAAGGCAGCTCATGTCTGCTTTAATACAGGTCCTTGACCGCCTGCTGAGGGGTATCTGTGCACAGCCCTGCCTGCCCCATGCCGAGCAGTGGGTCCTCTCTGGGTTGGGGGGGGGGCACATGTCCCTCACTGCTGCATTCAGAGCCACGCAGCTGCTCCAGGCCATGGCTGTCCCATCCTGGTCCTGGTCAGGCCCTTGGCCCCGAGGGACTGATCCCCAGCTCCATGGCTGGGTTTGAGCCATAGCTCTGAGCTGTGGAGAGGGCCCCAGGCCCTGATTCTGCTGCTTGGCAGAGCCCACCAGCAGGGCCCACTTCTTCCTACCTAAGGCCAGAGGAAAAGGCTGTGAAGGACAGGCTGCCCAGCCTCCCTGACTATGTACCCCAGACTGTTGGTAACTGGGGTAACTGTAGTGGGGCACCCTGTTGCTCCCCCACACGTCTCCCGCCCACCTGGGCGCTGCGTTGCTCCCCCACACATCTCCCGCCCACCCGAGCGCCCTGTCGCTCCCCCACGCCTCTCCCGCCCACCCGGGCGCCCTG